ATAATGAGCACCGGTTCAAGCCCCGGCTGCTCCACTTCCACCTGGGAAGTGCAGATGGAGTTCTGGGCTCCTGGCTTTGGCCTGGCTGTTGGGCCATCCCTGCTGCTTTCCCAGGTGCATTAGCAGGGAACTGGGTCAGAAGTGGAGCAAGGCCGGCGCTGTGGCTCAATAGGCTAATCCTCCACCTTGTGGCGCCGGCACACCGGGTGCTAGTCCCAGTCGGGGCGCCGGATTCTGTCCTGGTTGACCCTCTTCCAGGCCAGCTCTCTGCTGTGACCTGGGAGTGCAGTGGAGGATGGCCCAAGTGCTTGGGCCCTGCACCCCATAGGAGACCAGGAGAAGCACCTGGCTCCTGCCTTCGGATCAGCGCGGTGCGCCAGCCGCGGCGGCCATTGGAGGATGAACCAACGGCAAAGGAGGACCTTTCTCTCTGTCTCTCTCTCTCACTGTCCACTCTGCTTGTCAAAAAAAAAAAAAAAAAAAAAAAGTGGAGCGGCTGGGGCCTAATTGGCGCTCCAGTGTGGGATGCTGGTGTCACAAGCAGGGACCTAACCCGCTGTGCCACAATGCCAGCCCCCTTTCTATATATTTTTAACTAATTAATTTTCATTTTATTTGAAGGGTAGAGGGACAGAGACACAGGGATTTTTTTTGCTGGTTTAAGCCCAAATGCCTGCAACAGCTGGAGCTGGACCAGGTCAAAACAAAGAGCCTGGAACTCATCCGGTTCTCCTGTATGGGTGGCAGGGACTCGCGTTTGGGCCATCGCTTCCTGCTCCCAGCGTCTGCATTCATGGGAAGCTGAAATTAGCAGCAGGGCTGGGATTGGAACCCAGTAGGGGGTGCAGGCCACCTTAACCACCATGCCAAACACCTGCCCCAGGAGATTCTTGTTCAAGATGTATTTCCAAGGCAGAGATGGAGAGGGGCGGGAGAGCGCTTCCACATGGCGGTTTGCTCCCCAGATGGCTGCAGCAGCCCGGGCTGAAGTCAGGAGCCAGGAGCTCCGTCCAGGCCTCCCATGTGGGTGCAGGGACTCAAGTCCTTGAGCCGTGGCTGGTTGTTTCCTGGGTGTGTTAGCAGGGAGCCGGACCAGAATCCGACAGCCAGGTCTGGAAGTGGCGCTGGGGGGCAGGCTGCAGGCGTCTCAAGTGGTGTGGCCGGCTGGGCCGCAACGCCCACCCCCACGGCCAGAAGGCCGGGATTTAATGAAGGAGCAAAGCAGGACGGCTGAGACCTGTTAACTGGAAACACACAGCTCTCAGGCTGTGGCGAGATCCTGGTGGCTGAGCTCCAGAGAGGAAGAGACAGAATCTTCCATTCGCTGGTTCACTCCCCAAATGGATTCTGGTCTCCCCCACAGAGGGCAGGGCCATCTGTTGCCTTCTCAGGCACATTAAGATACCAGATCAGGGCCGGCGCCGCGGCTCACTAGGCTAATCCTCCGCCTGCCGCGCCAGCACACCGGGTTCTAGTCCTGGTTGGGGTGCCAGATTCTGTCCCGGTTGCTCCTCTTCCAGGCCAGCTCTCTGCTGTGGCCCAGGAGTGCAGGGGAGGATGGCCCAAGTGCTTGGGCCCTGTACCCGCATTGGAGACCAGGAGGAAGCACCTGGCTCCTGGCTTCGGATTGGCACAGTGCACCGGCCACAACGCACCGTCCGTAGTGCCCCACTTGGGGGTGAACTAACGGAAAAAGACCTTTCTCTCTGTTTCTCTCTCACTGCTAACTCTGCCTGTCAAAAAAAAAAAAAAAAAAAAAAAAAAAGATACCAGATCAGAAGCAGAGTAGCCAGGACTCGAACCGGCCCCCTGATATGGGATGCGGTGTGGCCTGCTGTGCCACCATGCCACACACGGGGTCTGCTCAGGACGAATGCAGCTGGTATTCTCAGCGGGGGAGGACCCGTGGGCTGTGTATAAAGAAACACACAGATGGGTGAGGGGCCCGTCGGCAGAAGTGGCCTCTGGAGACCCAAGTCCCACGAGAGGCCCTCTCCAGCCTGCAGACCCGTGGCTGGGAGCGTCCAAAGCCTCCGAAGCAGGCCAGGCAGGAGTGTGCACCTGTGTGAGGCCACAGGCCCCCGCCCCTGGGGCCGCTGGCTTAAGTGCTGGAGTCCCAAGGTCAGAGAGCCTGGAGGGCCGGTGTCCTGGCAGGTGAGGGAGTGTGTGTGGCTGACGGAGGGGAGGAGGGAGGGAGGGAGGGAGGGAGGGAGAGAGAGAGAGAGAGAGGAATCTGCCCCTTTATTGCCCCTGGTCCCCAGGTGGCTCCTCAGCACCGGCTCACGCGGCCTGCCCCAGCCCACGGAATGAATCTCCTCTGCAGGGACTCCCACCCCTGCCACGTGACGCCTACAGTGGCCGCCACAATGGGACAGTTCAGCACTGATGATGGAAACCTTGTTCGTTGTGTTAGCTTCAACTTTCAGAAAAGTTTTTTGTTTTTAAAGATTTACTTATTTTAGAGTCAGAGAGAGAGAATGACAGAGATCTTCCCTCTGCTGGCTCATTCCCCAAATGGACTGGGCCAGGCTGGAGCCAGGAGCCAGGAGCCTCTTCCGGGTCTCCCTTGTGGGTGCAGGGGCCCAAGCACTTGGGTCATTCTCCACTGCTTTCCCAGGCACATTAGCAGGGAGCTGGGTGGGAAGTGGAGCACCCGGGACTTGAACCTGCACCCACGTGGGATGCTGGTGCTGCAGACAGAGGCTTAACCCACTGTGCCACAGCCCCGGCCCCTTTAGAAAAAATTCAAACCTACAGAATCACCCATGGACTCTCACCCCAAGATTCATCAGTTTTGTCCTATCTGCTTGTTCTGTGTATCACATACCCCCCTTCCTATCATGTATCTACAGTCTTTGGAGATTTTATATAAAGTGGAGTTACAGAGAGAGAGGTCTTCCATCCGCTGGTTCACCCCCCAGATGGCTGCAATGGCCGGAGCTGAACCGACCTGAAGTCAGGAGCCAGGAGCTTCTCTCAGGTCTCCCACATGGGTGCAGGGGCCCAAGGACTTGGGCATCTTTTACTGCTTTTGCAGGCCACGGCAGAGAGCTGGATGGGAAGTGGAGCAGCCAGGACATGAACTGGCACTCACATGGGATAACGGCACTGCAGGCGGAGGCTCAGCCCACTATACCATAGTGCTGGCCCCTGGAGGTATCATTTTTAAGATTTCTTCATTTCAAAGGCAGAGTGACACAGAGACTGAGCTCCTCCGTCCACTGCTGCACTCCCCCAAATGGCTGCAGTAGCCAGGCTGGGCCAGGCTGAAGCCACCCGGGTCTCCAGTGTGGATGGCAGGGGAGGGAGCCGGATGGGAAGTGGAGCAGCTGGGACTGGAACTGGTGCCCATGTGGATGCCGGTGTCACAGGCGGCGGCTTCACCCGCTGAGCCACACGCTGGGCCCCGAGCCGTCACGTCTGAGTCCTCTGGAACGCGTTATCTGGGAACGGAGGCACCCGGTTACTGTACGCCCAGTACAGGGCTCGCCCTCGGAACCCGGATCCCTGAATTCTGTCAGATTGTACGTGGCGTTAGCAGCCCAGAATGAACGTGTGACACTTCAAACAGAACGCCGCTCCCTGACCTCGAGAATTCAGGATTCCAATCTGCCTGCAGAGGTCCAGTTTCCCGCCTTTTTAAAGGAGTACACGGCAGACCTTGAGAATTCTCCCGGAGCCTTGCCAACGGGAGGCGCCCTGGGCCTCCAAGCTTCAGGTGGGCGGAGCTCTTCTACGTGCAGTCTGGTGCCCTTGCTGGGAGCTGCCACTTCGTCTCTTTTTCTGTTTTTAAGACTTGACAGGTGGCGTGACCCAGAGGGAGCCTGTTGGTTCACTCCTCAAACAGCTGGGGCTGGGCCAGGCAGAAGCCAGGAGCCAGAAACTCCGCCCAGGTCTCCCACGTGGGTGCAGGGGTCCAAGTGCCTTGGCCATTCCCCCACGGCTTTCCCGGGAGCGTCAGCAGGGAGCTGGAGCAGAAGCAGAGCGGTGGGAGGGCGGCTTCACCTGCTTCTGCCCAAGTATACAGAGGCCTGGGGACCTTGGAAGTGGGAGTGGCCTCGCTGCAGGGCGGGGGGCGGGAACTGGTGAGGAGCATTTGGGCAAAACCTGAAGGAAGAGCTTGTGGAAAACCCGGGGAAGTGTGTGTTCCTGGAGGGAACCAAAGACCTGGAGGGACAGAGGCGGTGGGGGTGTCAGGCCTGGGCGCAGGGAGGCGGGGGAGTGGGCAGGCGGGGAGGGCGGATGGGCGGGAAGATCCGAGCCGCCCTGCGCAGCCCGACGCGGTGCACCTTGCGAACGCGCCCTGGCGCGCCAGTCTCCCCTTCGATGGCGCAGGTGCTGGGCCCTAGCAAGGGGCTGCGCGCTGGCAAACCCCTGTGCGTACTTTCAGGATGCACTGCACGATCTACCTCCAGGAGACCCTGGCTGGGCGGCTGCACCCTGCAGAGCACCCGCCCTCGTCCCGGGGCGCTGCGCCCAGCGCGGCCACACAGGACTGGACGCGGAAACACAGGTGTACAGACAGGCGTGGGACGGCGGGGTCCCCGGCCGCGCACACTGGTGCCGCTCCCAGCAGTGGTGTGGAGCCTGTTCCTCGCAGAGGCCAGGGCACCCCGCTTCCCTCACCCGGCTCCCGCTCGCCCCTGACCACAGCAAGCCGGGGAGCAGCAGCTCACTGTCCACGATGGCTGCCCCCCCCCACCCCGGGGCCAGAAGTCAGGCGTCTGCACGCAGGAACAAGCTCACGTCCAGCCGCCCGGATTTCGGCGGCTCTGGGCCGGGTTCCAACCCCAGCGCGGCCCTCGCTGGCCCGCGTCCACTCGGAAGACCCCCTGGGCCACAGAGGCGGTGCCCCGCTGTGGACGACCTGGAATGGGGAGGCGGGGGCGTCCCATAAGCTACATTCAGGAATCTGGACTGTGCGGCAAACCCAGACCCGCCTGGTCGGAAATGGGACCCCCCGCCCCGCGTCATCACCACTCCCCGCTCCCCTCCCCCAGATAAACGCAGGCTCCACGCAGCCCTCGGAAAAAGACCAGGCCGGAGCTGTCACGCCGGATCCACGCCGTCAGCTGCCTGACACGTGCTGCCCACGCCCGCGCGTCCCCGCCGGGCAGCCCCCTGCGCTCTGGCCCGCAGTCCTGGGCGCCCCCAGCCCCCGCCATGCGGCCCCACGCGCCCTCGCAGTGCGGCCCCACGCGGCCTCGCAGTGCGGCCCCCAGCTCCCGCCCTGCCGGGCCCCCGCGCCACCAGCCCCCGCCGTGCGACCTCGCTCGCCCCCAGCCCCCGCCGTGCGGCCCCCCGCACCCCCACCGTACGACCCCCCGCGCCCCCAGCCCCCGCCGTGCGGCCCCCTACTCCCCCAGCTCCCGCCCCGCCGGCTCCCCGCACCCCCACCGTACGACCCCCCGCGCCCCCAGCCCCCACCGTGCGGCCCCCCGCACCCCCAGCCCCCACCGTACGACCCCCCGCACTCCCAGCCCCCGCCGTGCAGCCCCCCGCACCCCCAGCCCCCGCCGTGCGGCCCCCGGCTCCCGCCCCGCGGCCCCGCTCCGCCCGCACCCCGCAAACTACAACTCCCACAATGCCCCGCAGCCGCCCCCCGGCTTCCGGTGCTGCGCAGTTTCCGGAGCGGATCGCAACCCGGAGTCCGGATCCGACCCCTCTCTGCACATTCCAAAGGCAGGTAAAGCCCCCGGCCCGCGCCCGCCGCCCCCGCCGGCGCGCGCCCCCGGCCGCGGCCCGCGCCGCCGCCCCGCCGCCCGCGCCCCGCGCCGCCCGCCGCCCGCGCCCCGCGCCCGCCCGCCCGCCCGCGCCGCCCCGGTCCAGCCGCCATGCCGACTGTTCTTTGTTACATTCGCCGGCCGCGGCGCCGCCGGCGATCGGAGTCAAAACCCGGCTGGATTTCGCGGAGCCGCTCCGGGATCGCCCCGCGCGCCCGCCCGCCCGCCGGGTCCCGCCGTCGCGGGCGCTCCGGGCCGGGCCGGCCGCGCCCCCCGCCCACGGCCGGGCCCCCCGCCCGCCGGCCGCGGCCGGGCCCCGCGCCCAGCCCCTCGACCGCGCGGGGCGGGGCCGGCCGCCCATCCCTCAGCCGGGCCGCGCCGGGCCCCCCGCCAGGCCCCCCGCCCGCGCCCCCAGCCGCGTCTCCGCGGGGCGCGGGCGGGGGTCTGCGCTGCTCTCGGCGCCGGCGGGGGCGCTTTCCCCGGGGCCCTGGGCAGCCCCGGGGGCGGCCCTGGACCCCCGGCCTCCTGTCTGCGGGGGAGGGCGGATTCGGGGCGGTGGGCACGGGGCCCGGGCCTCCTCCTCCCGCGCGCCTCCGCGGCGGCAGCGGGGTGCGGGGGCCTGCGCGGACAGGTGGGGGCGCCGCGCGTGGCCCTCCCCCACCCCCCGGGCCGGCGGGCAGTTTGGGGAGCGCGGGTGGGAACGCGGGAAACGGCCCGCCTGTTGGCCTCAGCCGTTGGCCGTGCGCGCTCGGCGAACCTTCGCGGAGCCCGCTCGCTCGCCTGTTTCCCCGCAAATGCCCAGGAATCGCCCCCGGCCCGCGGGGCCCCAGAGGTGCCTGGCCGTGGCGGAGCGGGGAGCCGCGCGTACCCGTGTGTGTTCCTGCAGCCGCCCAGGCGGGCTTCGCGAAGCTGGCCCTGCAAGGCGCCCGGAGCGGCCGACCTGGGGGGAGCCTCGGGTGGCGCCCCCGAAATGCCGGCTGTTCCCGGAGGCGCAGGGAAGCCCCGGGCCCGCCCTGCGCCGGGTCTGGGACCTGGACAACCCGCCGCCTCCCGGGCTGCTGCTCACTTGGTGAATGGCCGTGGGTGGGTTTTCACGGGGAGAGAAACCCCTGCTTTCTCCACGGTTCGAGTTTTTGCGCCAAAGTGACCAGGAAAGAACATTCTAGGGCATTCTGTGTGGGACAGGGATGAGAGGACAGGTGCATGAAGGCCAGCCTCGGGTCTAGGCTCGCCCACCTCCCGGGGGCGCTCTGCACTTGGGGTGCACGAAAAAAGGCGACCGCTGCCCACCGACTTGGTCACCCGTGGGGTCTCGGAGTGCGAGGGGCTGAGCCGGGACCTCTATACCCAGGGTGCTTCTTCACCACCCCCCCAGCGTGGACGGTACCTGTCCAGCATGCCGTCTGCCCCCAATTCATGCAGGCATCCTTGTGCTGGGCCATGGACATGTTGAGCCCACGGTGGCCGGTATTGGCCCAGGCAGGTGCCCGGAGCTGCAGAGGGTGGGAGAGCCCAGGCCTGGGGACGCCGCGCTGGGGGAGGGGTGGGCAGGGCAGCCTGTGGAGGGTGAAGCTTGGGTAGGACCGGCGTGGGTGTGGAGAAGGGGCAGGCGGGTGGGGTAGGGGCCACCTCTGGAACCTAGATGAGTGCCTTGGGGGTGAGGAGGTCCCAGGAAGAGGCCCGGGTGGGAAGGCTCTGAGCAAACAGGGTGGGGGCTTTGAGCAGGGGTGGCAGCCAGATCTGGGTCTTTACAGACTACCTGTTTCCCCCGACCCAGGGGGAGTGGAGGTGCCAGGGTCCCCGGAATCCCCTGCCTGCCGCTGTGGCCTGTGACACCGGCCCCCTGTATAAGAAGTGGTTCAAGTCCCGGGTACTCCACTTCCCCTCCAGCTCCCTGCTATGGCCTGGGCGGCAGTAGAAGATGACCCAAAGCTTGGGCCCCTGCACACTCGTGGGAGATCCGGGAGGAGCTGCTGGCTCCTGGTCCAGCCATCTGGGGATTGAGCGAGCAGGTGGAAGATCTCTCCCCCTCTTTGTAACTCACCTTTCAAATAAAATGAATGAATCTTTAAGGGGAAAAAAATGAAATAAGAGAAATGGGGGGAGGCGGAAGGGGAACTGAGGGGAAGTCGGGGAGCAGCCGGCTGGAGGACTGGAGGGAGGTGGGCAGTGGGGAAGAGACAGGACGGCTGTGCCGGTGTGGGGGCACCGGGGCCCTGGAGGCAGGTCCTCCCCCGGCTCCCCCAGTTCTGCCAGCTGTGCAGACCCCGTGTCGGCCGTGGCCGTGGTGTAGCAGGCTCAGGGTCCACCAGATGTGATGCCAGGGCAGTGTGGTGCTCGTGGGGTGGGGGATGGGCCCCCGAGGGCCCCCGTTCTCCCTGGGACAGCGCTGTGGTGCACCTGCACCGCGGGCAGAAGTCTGCACAGAGCTGATGCGAGCTAACAGGGAAGACAGCCCTGTCTGCTCCCTGCAGCGCAGCCGTGGGCTGCAAGATTGCTTACCAACGCGCAGGCAGCTTTTCAAAAGATATTTATTGGGGCCGGTGCTGTGGCGCAGTGGGTTAATCCTCTGCCTATGGTGCCGGCATCCCATGTGGGCGCTGGTTCAAGTCCCAGCTGCTCCACTTCTGATCCAGCTCTCTGTTATGGCCTGGGAAAGCAGCAGAAGATGGCCCTAGTGCTTGGGCTCCTGCACTCATGTGGGCGACCTGGAAGGAGCTCCTGGTTCCTGGCTTTGGATCGGCCCAGCTCCAGCCGTTGCGGCCATCTGGGGAGTGAACCAGCAGATGGAAGACTGTCTGTCTCTCCCTCTCACTGTAACTGTCAAAATATTTAAAAAAAAAAGCCATTTATTTATTTGAAAGAATGACACAGAGAAGGAGAGACGACAGGACCTTCCACCTGCTGGTTCACTCCCCAGGTGCTCACAGCAGCCAAGGCGGGACCAGGCCGAAGCCAGGAGCCTGGACTCCTTCCGGGTCCCCTGCGTGGGTGGCAGGGGCCCGAGCACTTGGACTGCCATCCACTGCCCTCCCAGACACGTCAGCAGGAGGCTGGATTGGAAGCGGAGCAGCTGGGACTCAGCCCGGCGCTCCAGTGTGAGATGCAGGCGTCCAAGTGGCAGATGGCGCCCTGTGGCACGGCGCCCGCCCCGGCACACTGCGTCTCTGTTGTCACCGTTGTCGTTGTTACAATAATACCTCAGGGCAGGAGAGGCCAGCACAACCATAGCGGGCCCGGGCAGTCGGGATTTAGCGGCAAACTTGTGAGCTGACAGTGGGAGGCCAGGAGGGCGTTGGAAGCCACACATGTAACCTTGGGCTTACATTCCGTGGAAATGGACACAGAACTTCACGGAGGGGCGTGGTCAGCTCTGCGGCCGTCAGAACAGCGCCTGCCCCGGCGCTGGGGCGCCAGTAGCTGTGTTTACCGGGGTGAACGAGACTTCGCGGTACAGCGGGGCAAGCCGCCCTGGGACGCCCGCATCCCACATCAGACTCTGCTGTGTTTCCCATCCGCTCCTGCAGCAGGTGACAGCTCCAGGACATGGGAGACCTGCGTGGAGCTCCTGGCCTCGGCCTGCCCAGTCCTGGCTGTGGAGGGCATCTGGGGAGTGAGCCAGCAGGTGGATGATTCTCAGGTCTCTGCTCTGTCACTTTCCTATTATTTTTCGAAGATTTATTATTTGAAAGGCAGAGTTAAAGAGAAAGAGAAGTCTTCCATTGCTGGTTCACTCCTCAGATGTCTGCAATGGCTGATCAGGAGCCAGGAGCTTCTTCCGGGTCTCCCACGTGGGTGCAGGAGCCCAAGGGCTTGGGCCATCTTCCACTGCCTTTCCAGGCCACAGCAGAGAGCTGGAAGTAGAGCAGCCAGAACTCGAACCTGCACCCGTATGGGATACCAGCGCTGCAGGTGGTGGCTTCACCCGCTATGCCACAGCGCCGGCCCCCTATAAAACACTGCTGTGAGGATATTGGCAGAGAGGTTGCTGTGCCTGGTACCGGGCATCAGATGGAGCTGCCAAGATGGGGTGGGGGTCGGGGGGGACAAGGGTCCTGTTGGATGTTGGCTCTGGAGGTGACAGATCCACGGGGGTGCCTGCCTGGTCGTCACCGCAGAGGCCTTGGACGAGGGGTGTGGGCAGCCTAGAGGCTTGGCAAGGAGACCCGGACCTGGCCACAGAGGACAGGGCTCTGGGCTGGGGGCTGGGGGTGGGTGTCGAGGTGGTGGGAGTGGTACGGGGACGCACCCTCTGCTCCAGAGAGCAGGCGGTGAGGACGCGACGTGGGTCCTGCCGGGTTCTTTGTGACCGAGGGAGCCTGAGTGTGCCCCACGGCTGTCCTCACCGTAACCGGGGGCCTGGGGAAAGGCGTGCACCGGGGCTCACGTTTTGGGAGCTCACAGTCCAGGGTCAGGCGGCCCTGCTGGTTGGCGGGCGGCGGCGGTGGCAGGAGTGTGCAGAGGGCGGGTCGCAGGTGAGGAGGAGGTTGTCTTCCTGGCTGGCCCACAAGAACCTTCGAGCGGCCTCCCCAGTGACCAGGTGCCCCCAGGAGGCCCAGCTCCGAGTGACCCTCCGAGTAGGCGTGGCTGGGGCCGGGGCCGGGGCCCTGGGGGAGCCTCGGTGTGCAGTGTGAACCCTGCCTGAGCTCCTGGGACCCGCAGGGCGTCCCCGGGTGCCACCGAGCGCAGCGTCAGAGGAACATGGGTGGCGTTCCTGTGTGAAGGGTGGCGTTTGTGGCCAGCAGGGTTTCAGAGAAGGGTGTCTGTGTCTTTTTTTTTTTTAATATTTTATTTGAATGGCAGAGAGACAGAGGCGGGGGGGCGGGGGCTTCCATCCGCTGGTTTACTCCCCAGACGGCTGCAATGCCAGGGCTGGGCCAGGCTGAAGCTGGGAGCCAGGAGCTGCTTCCAGGTCTCCCACGTGGGTGCAGGGGCCCCAGCACTCGGGCCTTCTACATCTTTCCCAGGCGCATTAGCGGGGAGCTGGATCGGAAGTGGAGCAGCCGGGATATGAACCGGGGTCCACGTGGGCTGCCGGAGACGCAGGCGGCGGCCCAACCTTCCGTGCCACAGCGCCGGCCCGAGCGTTGGTGCTGACAGGCTGGATAGGACGTGGCAGATGGAGGGGGTTGCACAGTCCGTTTGCTGCTGTCGTGAGAGGATGCCGCAGGCCGCGGGGTTTTAAAGGAAAGCCGCGTGCTTCTCCTCAGTCTGGGGCTGGGAAGTCCCGCTGCCGGGAGCCAGCGTTTGACGAGGGTCTTCTTACAGGCCTCCCAGGGCGAAAGGTATCACAGGAGACAGGCAGAGACACACACAGAGCAGGAAACGTGCGCCCTAAATGCTTGCAGCAGCTGGGGCCGGGGCGGGGGCGGGGCCCAGGTCTCCTGCATAGGTAGCAGGCGCCCGGTACCTTGAACCGTCACCTCTGCGTCCCAGACGTGTCGCGTGCCAGCAGGCAGCTGGGGTCGGAGCTGCAGCTGGGACTCTGCCCAGTACCCCGGGTGGGCCGCGGGCCGCCAGCCGCCAGCTCTGAGCGTGCTTGCTAACCGGCGGCTCCCGGGGCCGCGGCATCACCCCGCTCGCCCGGCCTGATCTCTCTGGGGCCCACCTGTGACGCTGTGACGTGCAGGGGCACGCAGACCGGGGCAGCTTCTGGAAGAAGGAACCGGGGGGCGGGGTGTGGAGACTGGGGCACAGAGGGGCCCCTGGGCAACCTGGGGGGCTCCTGACCGCAGTGGCCGGGGCCGAGCTGCCCCTCCGGGAGCCGTCCAGGCCTGCAGCCTCTTGTGAGCGCAGGCGGCTCTGGCCGGCCCCGGCTTCGTGAGCGCGCCTGCAGCGGAAGCCTGGGTTTCCAGACGCGCTCTTTCCCCGGGGCGAGCCTGTGCTGTGTGACCTCCGCTGGACGCGGTTTTGTGGTTGGCACCGTCAGCATCTCCAGGTGACAGCTCTGCGTGTCGCTGCACTGTGGGTACGTTCAGGGAGGGCTGCGTCGGTGACGCGGCTCGAGGCAGAGGCACGGAGCCTGTGGGGCGCTGGGCCGACGCAGCCGCCTGGGGAGTGGGGTGAGGGCAGC